ATTACGAGCAAAAATTTCGTAAAAAGGGGGGGGGGAGGAAATTCGAAAAAATAAAATGTTTGAGCAGAGGAAAGTTTAATTTCAGCCAAAGGCATAAGGAAATAAATAATCCAAAATGTAGCAATACGGTGCCGAAAATGCGGGTATGCTTTATAGCAGTGTTTTCTTAACCTTTCTAGCGAGTCGCACCCCATTGAATCTGAAAATATATCTTCGCACCCCCATTGAAAAATGTGTTTTAATTTTTTAGTCTAGAAAAACACATTTTTTGCGAAACTTATTGTTTATTGAAAAACATTGTACATTTTATATAAATACAAAACAATATTATTTTTATTAATGACTAGTCTGTTGTTGTTTGTTCATTATTATACTGGCGAAGCGAGGTTCCTTTTTTGAAAGACATGCGCGTAAGTCATCACTTGAATTTAAGCGATTTCTCGCTTTAGTTTTTATATGCAAAAGCGATGAAAATCCCATTTCGCACAAGTAGGTGGTAGCAAAGGGTAAGAGTAACTGCAGTGTTCCGTTCGCCAACTCTGGATAACGTTGTAACTGTGAACACCAGAATTGTTGCAATTCTAATTGTTCGAATTCCATTTGAACATGTCCGTTTGGTCGCATTTCAATAAGTTGATCTTTTTTTAGATCACTATCATCCATCAAATTTAAGTCAAACAGAAATGGATCCAGTATCCATCTGAGTTTGGGTAATATTTCCGGTTTAGAAAAATATCCATTGAATGATTCGCTCAATCGTCTCAAATGTATTACAATGTCGGGTATAATTGCATTCTTTTCATTTTTGCAATAACAGAATCAAGCAAGGGAAAGTTTGCAAAATTCCCCTTTTCTACTCGACGTATCCAAATTTCTAATTTTGCGATAAATGAAGATAATTTTTCACTAGATATTATTATATTTATACCAAATCCTTGCATTGATAGATTCAATTCATTTAAATGGCTAAATATGTCTGCTAAGTAGGCCAGCCTCAGCATTGCATCATTACTCTCAAAATCTTTTACTAAATAACAGTTTTGACTAGTCAGTAATTGAAAAATTTCCTCACGGAATTCAAAAACTCTGTTAAGCATGCAACCTTTAGATAACCATCGTATTTCGGTGTGATATAGGAGCACGGTATGATCAGCACCGATTTCTTCGCAAAATGCACGAAAAATGCGATGATTAAGCGCTCGCCCTCGAATGTATTTTACTACATTTACTGCTGTAGTTAGATGTTGTTTTAAACTTTCTGGCAATGCTTTCGACGCAAGTGCATGACGATGCAACATGCAATGCGTTATTATAACTTTTGGTAATTCCCTTTTCATGTGTGAAAAAAAATCCTGAATTTTTGCCTAACATTGCTGGGGCTCCATCAGTGCATATTGAGCCAATCACATTCATTGGTAATTGATATTTAGTAAAAAAATCTTTGATGCGATTGAAAATATCAATTCCTCTCGTATTCACCTCCATTGACTCACAAAATAGAAATTCTTCTATCATCTCTTTTTCCTTCACATACCTGACAAATACCAAAAGTTGGCTACAATTATCAACATCAGTTGACTCATCCAGTTGCATGCTTATTTTTAGTGGACTGATTTTTATGTCTTCAATTACTTGCATTAAAATATCTTCACTGAGATCTTGTATTCGCGATCGTATAATATCATTCGATAATGGAATCTGTTGGATTTTTTTATGTTCTTCCGAATCTGAAACTGTTTTAGCAATAATTAAAGCAGAAGGTTTAATCAACTCTTCAGCGATCGTGTGAGGTTTCTTTTTTTTTTTCACATAAATATGCCATTTGATATGACGCTTCTAATAAAGGTTTTTGAATTGCTGGTCCGCACAATTTTAGGATAGTTCCACTGGTATCAAACCGAGCCTTCTTGGACTTCAAGCTGTTCATCCTATGCGCTTTTTCGCCACCATGCAGATTGTTGAAATGCTCTAATAATTTTGATGGTTTGAGATTGCTGTTTGAAAATATTTTGGAACACAAGATGCATTGCGGTCGTTGCGTGCCATCTTTTTCGGTTGTGTAGGTAAATCCATAACCGGAATACTTATCGTTCCATTGTCGTTTTTTTGACATAGTGGGGTTCCCTATAATCGATTTAATTATTTAGAAATAATGTAATATAATATATATATTGTTCTTATGTTTGTAATATCACTGAATCGTATTCGGCTTGAACGGGCAATTAAGAATGTATTAGTCTCAAGAGGTTTCTGGACAAGTCAGAATACAGAATACACATGTCGCAGACACAATAGTTGGCTCAAATTGACTCAACCTAACACAGACGCAGTTGATGTAGATACAAATCTGTGAATCCGTAGATTCCATTGGAGTAGCACATATTGAACTCAGCGCATGCGCAAGCTGGGATAACGTTCTCTGCTTGTATTCCCACAAAGTGTTTTTCTTTTCTCCGTCACCTAGCTGCCTGTTCGCGTTCGTTTGTAGCGTTTCATGCCTTTTCGTAGTGTAGCGTATACGCCCATCGGCACCGGCTCTTTCCTGTGTCTTCTGCCGATAAGTGAGCTAGGTGCTACCAATTTTTGTGAGCTTCAATATTGGTGACATTATTGCAGATTTCAAATATTTTATTATAAAAAATTTAATAAATGATATTTAATAATTTTTATGGTTAGGTAGGGGCTTCTTCCGCACCCTCCCAAAATACATTCCCGCAAACCCGGTTAAGAACCACTGCTTTAAAGGAAAAATATCTTAGAGTATTTACAATATGATATTTGTTTTGTTTATGTGTTACATGTTTGCAAAAGTAAATGTTTTTCATTGTTAAACAAAAATCTTTTTCATTTCTTTTCTTGATTTATGTATCCATATGTATTATAAAGGGAAAATAATTCTTACAACAAGAAATACAGTCAAAAGTCTTTAATCCGGACTCGTCGGGACTTCGACGATTCCGGATTATCGCTTTTTCCGGATTATAGATCATCATTTTAAATCTGGTAAGATAGCATGCAGAAATTATCAAATTAAAAATATGAAACCGTAATTTATGAAATAAAGAGCAATTATGATCTAAAGAGTATCAGAATTTAAAAAAAAAAAAAAAAAAGCTTAATATTTATTTTGTTTACTTTATTAAACATTTCTTTCAACGTGCGCATGCGTAAATCATACATTACGCATAGTCGAAATTAGAAACTTGCAACCAGAAAACTATTTGATGTGTATTCGTGATATTTATAATGACGAGGAATTTGATTTAAATCGTATCAAAGACGGAGTACATCGAGATGAAATACTACATTTAGTAAGGAATTATAAGCCGAATAAAATTAAAACATCTGCCGTGAAGATAAGGATATTGCTGACAGATCAACTTCCAGTTCATTGCGCGCCGCGTCGTCTTCCCCCCCACAGAGCAGCGTGAAATTGATAAAACAGATTTCGGAATGGTTAGAGAATCAAAGGATATGCCTTTTTATCCATTTCTTGCAGCAATTAAACTTTTTGTTTAATAGACATCGAAACATGCTTTCGCTTTGTAGATCCTTTGGTATCTCCAGAATCGGAAATTCTTTTTTTCATAATCGAAAGTTCATGTTTACTTTTATAAAATTGCTCTAACAGTCTGCAAAAAAAATAATAAGCCGGATCCAATTAGAAGATTAAGGAACAACGCAATCTGCAACATTAACTGAAATAGATAATTAGATAATTTTAGCTTAGCTTATACCGTCCGTTATACATAAACGCGCATGCGTAAACGTATTATGCACATGCCTAAATGTATTATGCGCATGCGTTAACACAATATGCGTTGACGCATGCGCAGAAAGTTTGTAGCTTTGAGGTCCGAATTATAGATCATTCCGGATTATGGACGTCCGGATTAAAGACTTTTGACTGTATCAGTTTTTTGATCGCTTCATATTCATTAGTCTGCAGTAATACATGTTTACGCTATTTTTCAAATGTTCAGCTAGAAACTAATTGCAAGTTCCTTAAATTTTTTTTTAATTAATTTTTTTTAAAGACTTTCAAGGAAACCTGTTAGAGATAGTTATCGTTTATAGTTCGCGGATACCTTTCCCTTCAAAGCAGAGAGTATTGCTACCTAGGGAAATATTTGTTGCAAGCCTCGCGCATAACGGCCCAGTGAAACAAATGCACAGAAATTTTCTTAAATAATTGTATTTATTTTTATTAAATAGATATACTATTCTTCTAACGTATGATGAACGTATGATGAAATAATATCATAGCATCTTTTCCTCGAACGTTTAATTTATAGTTCGGGAAAAATTTAAATTATAGTTCGGAGCCATTTTGAATAGTTCATTTTAAATTTAAGATTTTATCTTCTATATCTTTAATTTTTGTGTGATTAATTCTTAAACATGCATAGCTGTTGTAACTGCTTAGCTAAAAATTGTTCCATTTGTTTAACTGAAACCCGTTGTACTGATAGTAGATAGGAATTTTATTTTCCTCTTTTGATTTTTTTCTTTTTCAACTTTTAAGCACTTTTTTTTTAAACTTTATAAAATTTTACTGATAAATTATTCAAGGTGTTAGACTATATTTTTCCAGATCGTAATTTTAATATTTTTGTGATATGTATTGCAGAAAATTCTATTTGAATAAAGTATTTTGGGATTGCCTGCAACAGTAAGTTAGCAAAACGTATTATTCAAAAATGAAGGTCCAAAAAATATTTCAGCTCTTTATCTTTCTTTCCGAGAGAGGGGAACAAAAACGGAAAAGAAGCGGCTCATGCTCCACGGCTGATGAAAATTAAATACATAATCAGCATAAATATATATGTGCTTCTTCAAGAAATCGTAAATAAAATAAAATAGTCGTGACGTCATTTCAGATTCCTGAGGCGGAGCGATATGTCAAAACAGTAGTAGCGTAAATTTGCTTTTTTTTAACGCTGTTCTTCCCAACCTTGAAAACCCAAACCAGTTTCTGCTATCGCCTCATGGTTGAGGTCTTCGCCTTCGGAATACATACACTTTTTTAATTCTTAAATAAAAGTTGCTTCTGCCTCAGATACAGTTCATGGATTAGTTGCTCAAGAGATGCAGATGCCATGGGGGCTCTCTGCCACAAATTTTCAAAGCATCGAATATTATTGGGGACTGCAATATGTGCTATATTCCTTTGCCTAACTCTGGTCAACTTGGTTGACAAATGGGCCCCCAAACAATCACCTCGTAGAAAACCAAAACGAGTGACTGACCTCTCGGAAAACCAAAGCGCACAGGTATTATCTCTTTATATGGACTTGTAAGTTTTTTTCTTTTTTTAAACAGAAATATATATTCTCATTGCGAGATAGGAATAAATTCTGCTGTCTTTTATAATACTATTTACTTATGTTTATCGTCTGCTGATGATAGACAATCGTATAATGCAAAATAAGAATCTGCATTCTAGAAATCTGGCCTTCATAATATAGAAAATATTAAGTGTATTTAAATAGTTAAAAGCTAATTGATTTTTATGAATGTTTCAATACAAATATTATGATAAATGTGTAACATACGCATAGTAATAGTCGTAAAACATTAATAGTTATATAAATATAGAATATGAGTTTAAGGGTAACCGAAGTGATTTGTTTATTATATCATCGATGCTGAACATTTAATTGTTATTGAGAAACATTTGTAATGAACATAAAGCACTTTTTGCGAGTATTTTTCCAATATGTAAATTAGCTAAGCTTAGAAAAGATGAATTTATAATCAATGAAAATGATGCAGCTATCGACGTACACACGATATCCTTAAAAAAAAAAAAAAAAAAAAAAAGTCATTTTTTGAACGCTATGCTGGAAAGTTAATAAATACGGTGAAAAAATATTTAGATTTTCTGTCATTAGTAATATTCTGTATTACTAATACTAAAGAAAGGCTTTTAAAATACAAGTTGGTGTGACAAACACAATATTAAGATTCAATGTTAAAAAATGAAAGGATAATTACAGTTATAACCGAATAACATAAATTTATGTGTAAAATGTATTTCGAAATGTTTCACGAAATTTTCATTTTTATTAGTTTTCTTTCAACCTTGATTTCAAAATAGATTTTGTTTTGTTTCTTTGATTTAATAAATACGTTAGTTTATCACATTTTTCAGTTTCAGTGATGAAAAATTTAATGTGCCGATAAAGTTGTAAATTGACTATTTGATTATCTTGTTAGTTAACTCAACCTTAATTCAAAATTCGGCAAAGAGCAACCATTATTTGCGTAGATTTTGAATAAAATCCTATCGAAGTCGGATCTTCCTCGAAATCGATGGAGTTTTGTTCTAAATCTGCGACAAACAAAAGTACTTTTTTGAGCGAATTTGAAAATTTATACTGCCACTTTATCTTCCGCTTGATTCCATTTTTAATTTTTACCAATAAAATACATTTAGCTTTTATCTATTTTTATTTTATATAATGCGTTTTTTATATTGAAATTTATACGAATTAATTCATTTGACAGAATATATGATTTTGGAATTTAAATATTAAAAGAGTGTTAAAACTATCTTAAACATTTTGGTTAATCATCTTTATAGTTTTTCAACAGCAGGCATTTTTCCAATAATTTATTAAGATTCTAAATCCCGATGGATCTAAATCCTGAAAGTGCGTTAAGGCGTCTAAAGTGTCACTGTGGCATTAATGAAGATATTCTTGATATAATTTAATGGAATTTTTTGTTGTTCTCTCTTACAAAAAACCTTTTTATTTTAAAAGTTGATGAAATACGGGAAATCCAGTGAAGAATGTTAGAAAGTTTAGTTAAATTATATATTTCCAGCTTTTCTTTTTTAGTTTTCTTTTATGTTCAACTAATTCTTGTTTATTTTCTAAAGTTAAATTTTTTTATTTCTGTTTCCAGACACATCGAAGAGATTTTTATTGTTTTCAGTATGCGGATTTAGTGTTCTGGCGAAAAATATTGCTTTGGATAAATAAGATAATAATTCCTTGGATAATAGAAGTACTTTTTCTTTTATGTTGTTGTAAGCTATGTACTCAATATTTGTCTTCCTGTTTCATACAGATCCGTCAACCATGCACTTGCTGACTTTTGTATTAGCTTTGATGTGTTTTTCATTAATTTTTTTGTTGAGTCTTTCAGCCTTAAAAAATAAAACAAAAAGAAATTATGAACCTTTCAGAATAGTGGAATATTGCCGAAAATTTGAAAATGTTTTGAGTTTTCATAGAAGGAATTATAAATCATAAAAGTAAATAAACGCTTTTAGCACATACCTTTCTTTTGAAAAAGTACACGCAGAATAGGAAATTCACTTAAAAGAAGTTAGATTACATTTCCATTGTCTGTATTATTTATTTAGTACTTTTACTTGAAGTAGTCAACAGTCAACTGTTTTCATTATACATGGAAAATAAAGCTGTCATAGAGTAAATAATTGTTTTCGAGTTACGTTGTCGAGAAATGGATTTTGTTGCATCATTGCTGAGAATAAAATATTAAGGAATCCTATTAGAGGCCGAGCGAATTCTGATATCTCGACTCGGGTTCATATCCCGACGAATGACTGTTTGCATGCGATCCATGTTATTACGTATTTCCAGCGTCATTCTGACTAGAGGGCGCTGCGTTCGTCCTAATAGTCAGTGGCAGGCAGGATACTAAAGGTGTAAGACGTGGAAGGCAGAGATGCCTAATAATATATCTCTAATTGATTGAAATTTTCGTATATTTTCTTGTAAATAAATGTTGTTATTGTTAACAAAACCTCTTATTATCTCTTGGATGCACCTTTAGTCTCACAGAACCATTAGATGCAAAATTGGTGCATCTTGTCCGCGAATGTGGAATACCGGAAGTAATTAGTCATCATTACTGGATTATATTTCTGAGAAGTTTGGATACTTTACGTACGCTTTTGGATACGTAACATTGCATACTGGACTGTGGAGGTAAGACCTTTTGAACTTACAAATTCTATTCGGAGTTAATATGGATAAGCTTTCGAAAATAATTGAAAAGAGAAGTAACGTTCGCGCTAGTGTTTACTAAACTAGTTAAAAGAGTGCAGAAGCTTGATGAAGCTGTCGAAAGACGTAAGTTCATTATCAGAACTACTGGAACTATTAGAAACGAAGGAGCAGATCTTGAAAAGCCATGATTTAGAGGTGGAAGCACTCATAGACGATCCGGAAAAAATTTAAAAGTGAATTAAAAGCTTCGGAAGAATACGATGACAAAATATTGTTGGCTAAGATTAAACTAAAAAGCAAAATTAAAGAATTAGCAGCAGAAAATGTTCAGCGGACTTCTTCAGTTCTTAACACATCTAGTGTTTCGGAAAACACTGTTACGGCTTTAAAATTAACAAAGTTAGAAATTTCGCGATTCTCTGGTGATTCTGGCAAATTTATGGAATTCTTAAACTGTTTTGATAGCGCAATCGGTTCAAACAATTCACTTACGAAAATTGAAAAATTCCAATATTTAAAATCTCTTCTTTCTGGTCCTGCATATAATGTTGTTGCGGGTTTTGAATTAAATGAGAAAAACTATGACTCATGTCTTGAGCTTTTGAAACAAAGATATGGTAGAACTGATTCTATTATAAATTCTTACATGACTAAATTATTAAGCTTAGAACCCGTGAGAAGTTCGTCTAATGTTAAGGGTTTGCGTAAATTATACGATGAAATAGAAGTTAATATAAGAAATTTGCGTTCATTAAATGTAACGGAGGGTTCATATGGGCATTTATTGAATCCAATATTATTGAAGTTGCTACCACAAGATTTGGTGTTAGATTTTCACCGAAAACGAAACAGGGAAGTGAATTGTGAGGTTTCGGAAATTATTACGTTTTTGAGGAATGAAGTCGAATCTAGGGAAATTGCCGAAACTGTGATGAGCCCCCTAAAAGGTTACGAAACAAAACGATCCTTTTTCCCAAAATTATCAAAGTGGTCAAACTTATCAGAAAAACTATTCAAAGCCTAAAAATATATCAACCGCTTCAGCGTTAAATACACAAATAAAAAATTTGCTTTGTTTATTTCTGTGACGGTCATCACGATTCCGTAAGTTGTAAAAAATTGGATGTAGAACAAAAATAAATAAGCTTAAAGGACTTGAAGCTAGATGCTGGTGTTGTTTTAAAAAATATCACATGTCTCGCGTAATGTAGGGCAAAAATATCGTGTAAAAATTGTTTAAGCAATTTTCATCATGAGTCAGTGTGTAGAAAAAATAAACCCGTTAATGTTACTTTGAAAGGTTGTGAGAAGCAAGTGGAAAGCGAAACTGTTTTGAATGACTCACAATCTAAATCTAATAAAAACGCCGAAGAATATATTTCTGTGTCTCATAGTAATATATGTATACCAAAAATAAGCCCCAAAAATTTTTACAAACATGTACAGTTTTAGCTTGTTCGGATAAAAAATTCAGGTCTTAACTAATGTTATTTTAGACAATGGTAGTCATCGAAGTTTTATTTCATTCTCGATTAGTTAAATCGGAATTAAAAAAAGAATTAAAGCCAATACGCTACGAAAGAATAGCTATTTTTGCTTTCGGAGACAAAATAGCACGTGAGAAGGAATACGGTATCGTTTCATTGAACGTTGCGCAATAGGGATCAAAGTTCGAAATCGTACGAGTTAGAAGCTGTCATAACGGAATTATATATCTAATTTGTCCTTGAAAATTCCTGATGTATCTATTCGCAATGCGTTGAAGGAAAGAGGTTTACCTTTGGCTGATTCATTTTCTGGCGACTGTCAGACGGAAATACTTATCGGATGTGATTCATTTTGGGATGTTGTTTATGACGAGAGAGTAAAGTTAAATGAAAACATTACTGCGATAAATTCTTGTTTCGGTTGGTTACTAGCGGGAGTGGAAGGAAGTAATAAATTGACTAATAATTATGAAAATGTATGTTTAGTCATGGACTCTTCTTCCATTTTGTGCAATTTGAGATTTGAAAAAATTTTGGGAAATAGAAGAATTTCAGTCAGACAAACAAAACTTTTCTGAATGGGACAATCGATTGATTGAAAATTTGAAAATTCTCTGGAATTTAATGGGGAAAAGGTACGTTTGTAGATTGATGTGGAAGGAAAACTTGGGACCTGCAGGTTGGGTTGAAATTCTAATTATGACGTTGCGAAAAAGCGTTTTGATTCGTTAAAGCAAAAACTAAATAAAAATCAAGAAATTTATGACCAGTATAAACAAATTATATCGGATCAGTTAGAAT